AAGAAAAGCATGTGGCACAGTTGTAGGACAAAGGTGAGCAGAGATCTACTGTGGAAAGGGGCACATTTTTCTTATAGAGAGAACAACCAAGGCATGCCCCTCGGTAAGCAGTGTTGGTGGGTGATGGCAGGCACACGCATGGAGGCTTGCTTTCCCTTGCTCCTCATGTCCACTCTCCCTGGGTTAGCCAGCTCTGAGCACCCCCTTCGTCCTGCCCTGCCCGGTTAGCTCGGTCAGCATACCTCCAGAGCAGCTCCTGCTCCTCAGTTTTCAGAAGGGACTTTTCTCCAGTCTCTCAATTCAGTGACGATGTCTGGGAGACAGAGGTGACCCTCAGTCCTTCTGAAAGTGGTGGGGTAGGTGGCACATTCTCTTCAGTGGGCCATGCAGGGTGGTATTTGGGACCATGGCTAGAGAGGATTAGGATCAGGGAAAGCCCCTCCAGCAACAACACAGGCTCAGATGATAATTCTTGGGTGAAAAAGTGTGATTAACGTTTCTAAAAATGGAAGTCTTAGGGTAATTCTAAAACCACGTCCTTCTGGTTCTAGCATTTCCGAGTTCTGATAGCCCAAGCAGTAGGGGAGCTGTTGACCGGGGGCCACCAGAGCTGGCCATGGCGGGCACCTGCACTGAAGTCTGGAGCAGCCCACACAACTCTGCGTGGCTTTGTTCCTGCTCTCCACAAACCTGGCCATACTTGCTAAGAATCATGGTCCCTGCTTTTTTAGGGAGAAAATGACAGGCACTCTTCCTCCCATTTTGTTTTGTTTTGTTTTTTGGGTAAATCTGTCAGGATAGAATGTGACCCAGAGGAAGAAGAGGAAAAGGCAATAGCAGAGGAGTGGCAAAGAAAGAAGCTTTTCTTTTAATTGAAAAATGGTGTGCATTTAGTGGCCATGCTTTTTGTTCTGTCACATAGGCATTTGGCGGGGCGGGGAGGGGGGTGTGTGAAAGGTATGACATCTGGGAGGAAAGCAGGAAGAGGCACATGGGAAGGTTTTTATTTTATTTTTACCAAGCCCTACGGTGGAGGGATTTTTAAACTTGTCTTAAGATTCATTCCTTCATCTTCTTTATTCTTATACTGGAATTACTGAAAGATGGTGGGTTTTTACGAAAGAAGAGGAGGGGTGTCTGCAGCTGGAAAGAAAGCTGTTGGGTTGTGTTTGTGAGGCTTACTCATGGTCCCACCAGAGATGTGTGCACACTGGTCCACACGTGCCAACACGTACAGTGTGCATGAATGCCTGTGTGTACAAAGGGTTCAAAAGGAGAGTATTTTGGGGGAGATTAGTTTCATGTTGTTTGCTGTAAAGCACAAAGTGATGTTAAGATCAATGTAGAAAGATCCTCTAAAATTAGTTACCAGGGAGGGCTTTATTTTCTTGAAGGCACTAAGTTTAATTCAGAGACAGTTTTAAAATTGAAAACTAAAATTGGGACCCATACAGTAATTTTTAAGGGCACCTGAGATGATTAAAATTTAAATTTATCCCTGTCCATCTGTCACTGTGTTATTCCTGTGATGCTACCAGATTAGTTGAAATTCTCTCATTTCAACATTTACCTATCATACTTAATGACATTAGGAGAAACCTTAGGCTTATGTAGTATAGCTCCTTTTATTTCACAGATAAACTGAGACCCAGGAAAACAAAATGACTTAAATATGCTTGTCAGAGTTGACTGATAGCACAACTAGGACTAGAACCCAGGCCAGTTCTTGTTGCTCCAGTAGGAGTAGTTATCAGTTTGCCTTCTGGAGTCCTACCATGGGTTTTGAATGCCAGCTCTGCTGTTTTATCAGGCAAGTTACCTAACGCTGTGTGTCTGTTTCCTCATCTGTAAAATGGGGATAGAGGTATCTGGCTCGTGGGTATTGTGAATGTAGGGTAATATTTTCTAGTATATGGAGATTACTTCGTAAATGTTAAGTAACGCTTTATTTTACTCTGTAGTCTTTCTGCCTTATTTGGAGGACCCATTCACTGCCTAGTGAATGAAACAAAGTCATTCTTTCAGTAAAGCTGATGGGAATAAACAGTAATGTGGAAGAGGCAACCACACTGGTCTGGTCTTTGCTCTCAGAACAGGTGTCCCTATCTGGTGTGGTTTGTGATGCAAGAGGATATTTGGTTTAATCTTCCAGACCCACCGAGCATGCCCATGGCCAAGAGAAGTGACCGTCACATGCCTGATTAAATCCTTGGGCTGGACTTCTGACATAAAAACTTCCCAAATAGGGGGGCCTGGCTGGCTCAGTTAAGCATGCCACTCTTGATCTCAGGGTCACGAGTTCAAGCTCCACATTGGGCACAGAGTGTACTAAAAAATAATAACAGTAATAAAGTGAAATTTTCCAAATAGATTCTATGGATTTTCACAGAATGGCCAGATTTTTTTTCTGTAAAGCAAAATAAAATTTATCTCAGGGTAGCTATTTTAATAAGTGACTCAGATATCCCAGACATGTGTCTACTAAGTGACCCACTTAGAAGTCAATATGAGAATTTACTTATTAGAAATTTTAGAAGTAACTCTTAAGGAAAGACTGTTAAGGGCTATTTTCCTCTAATAACACAAATTGGTCCCTACAGCTCAGGGAATAATATTATTGGCAGGGTATGCCTTGCTTCAGCCCCAGCTGCAGAGAAAGATTGGTCTGTTTGAGCCTTAGTTGGTTTTGGTTTTGGTTTTTAGATAATTGTGTCTCCATTTAACAGATTGTCATTACTTTCCCTCCAAGGTCAGAGCAGGTTCTGCCTGTAAGCCTTAGAAGCGAGTGAGCACGCACAGAGGGGTCTGAGTCTGGGAGATGTACCACGTAGGGCTGACAGAAGCATCACCCGTTAGTGCCGGAAGCCGGCCTTTCTAGTTGAGACGATTGGCAGAGCTTCGGGGTCTTGCCTTCTCTGACCTCGAATAGTTGTAAACCCTGGTTATTTTGAAGAAAACCGTTTGGGTGTGCCTGTGATTTGTTACTCTTTGGGAGTCCGTATTGCCCTTCAGACACCTCGTTAGGCAAGTCCGGGGCAGCAAGTGGTGCTGAGCCAGCATCCCGCCCTTAGAGGGGCACCGGGGCATTTCATACGCCCGGGGCAAGTGTTTTCTCACATTACTCTTTCCTTGGCATCAGGCTCTGACCCATAGGATGCCAGGAGCGCGGATGCTGTGGGTAGAGCAGACCTGTGACCAGCTGACAAGTAAATTAAGGAAGGTACTTTTGGGGGCAGGAGTATTTCATGATCTGTCAAGAAAGAAACCTAAGTAGAAAGTAGATTTGATTTTTTTTTTACTTGCTCTTTTATTTAACTTGGTCTCTAAAAATGGTAGTACAGCTTTCCTGCTGTCCCACTCTACTTAGGAAAGGAAAAGGCAGTTGCAATGTATTATCAGGGATAGATTCTCAGTGACTGTAAAACACTCTTTAACATAGTAAGTCAGTGATTGGGAGAGGCTTTACTTGCTTTGTCAAATAGGACATCGTGTTCAGAATGACTCTTACTACGCTGCACAGCGATGCCAGCCTTCTGGAGGCATCAAACCACGTTTTAGGCTTCCTAGCCCACAGATTGAGCCGGGTGGCTTCCAAATTGTGTTCCTGCAGAACAGTTCCCATTGAACAACCCAGTGTGTCTGTGTTCCATTTTTTTTAAATGGAGTTGAGATTCAGTGACTTGAAGTTTGAATGCCACTCAGACATTTCAGTTAAAGAACCCTCCGAAGTCTTCAGCCATTCACTGTCTCCTCTGGAGAGTCTGGTTGGAAAGAAACTCTTCCGTAAAGGGAAAATCGCACAATTCCGAGTTTCTCTCACTTAACATGTTGCTGAATGCAGCATCACATGCTAAGGAAACTGGAATAATGTCGGTCAGGCTGGATGAACTCCTGGCAAGCCTTGTCACCTGTTTTTAGTTCCAGTCCGTTTAAACGCAGCGGAACACTGGTCACTGTTGGCCTGTGTACCCAGCTTTGTTAAAGACATTGCTTGTAACTTTCCTTTGTGATTAGGTAAAATCATGAAGATGATTTTGGTTTTTAAATATAGGCAGTGGTCACAACGCTTGACTTCACAGCTGTGTTGTTAGACCAGACTTGAAGTTTATTGATAACAGAGTTTTATAGGGTGTTCAACCTTACTTATGAATACCTTACACATTTTGCTGTTCAGTTTTATAAGTTGTGTTAATAGGCATGAACAGGATTCAGTGGGGAGGGGGCTTTCTTTCAGATATGTGAAAACCAGCAAACCTCTTTGTTGGGAAGTTCCTAGCCATGCTGTGTAAAGAAGTTTGCACAGTCCTATATAGATAGGTTTTAGAAAATTCCAGCTTACCTAAAAGCTCCTGGAAGTGAATTTGCAAAATCATGAGGAAGTGAATAGATCTGATTTTTTTTTTTCCACTGATAATTTCTAGGATAGTTAGTTAATTCATTTGTGATTAATTTGTTTAGGCAGAAGAACAGGAACTTTAAACAAAAAAAATTTTTTTCCTTTCACGGAGATTTGAGCTACTGTGAGTTTTTTACTGGGTATTTTATTCCAAACGTAAAAAGCAGTGCCTGGATGTAGGTCTAGTTGTTCTCGAAGTTCTCATTTGAGGTTAAAGCTAAAAAAAAAGAGAAAGTTTTTATGTGAAAAGGGCAAATACTCAGTGTCATAGAGTCACATATTTTGATCCTTCATACCAAGCCTCCCTCTGGAGGTCTCTGCAACTACCACCAACTACTTGGGGAACAAAAGAAATGGTCTCCGTGTATGTAGTGAGCCTCCTACTAGAAAGACAGGAGTCTGCCTTGAGAAGTCTCCCTATCCTCTTGCGGTGCCTGTTGGCACAAAGCAGAGTGGTTTCAGCCAAAGGGAAGAGAAGGCCGATCCTTAGTTTGCAAAACCCACCTAACCTTTGCTAAGCATGACCCTCATTGCTTTCTCTTTAATGGTAGTGAAGCTGGATGTCAGAGTGGCACCAACCAGGATTTTGTTTGCTCTCTTCTAGATATGGGTTTGTGGAGTTTGATGATCTGCGTGATGCAGATGATGCTGTTTATGAACTAAATGGCAAAGACCTTTGTGGTGAGCGAGTAATTGTTGAGCATGCCCGCGGCCCACGTCGAGATGGCAGTTACGGTTCTGGACGCAGTAAGCATTTGAAAGGGCATTTGTATCAATGCCATACATGCCTTTGTTGTTAAATGTTAATTTTTTAAGTAATTAATTAATGTTACACTGAAATGTATTGCTATTTAAGCTATTTGTTTTATAAATTGTGTATCTTTTTAAATGTAAAATTGCAAATAAACATCTTTGATACTGCTTAATTTTAATTTAATTAATGACAAAGTTCTTGTTTTAATACTTTATAAATATGTTTAATGATGTGTGTTTGTGTTGTTGTTTTTTTTTTCTCTGTAATGCAATTGTTTAACATAGATTTAACAAAGACCTCAATGTTTTAATTAAAAGAATCCTTTGAGGCTAAGATGACTGCCTGTTCCATTTGCTGACCTTGGGTTACCTTTCCATGCGTGGCTCTTTGAACCATTGTGGCCCTTGGCTGACCAAAACAGGAAGCCATGTGACGACCGCAACCTTTCCCCATTAGACCTGGGTGGTGAGGATCCCAAGGGTTAGACACAGATGAGATTAAACTGAAATAGGTGCCTGAAAATCTTTTTTTCGTATAAAATATTCACAAAACTTTAATCACTGTGAGTAACACCAGTAACTGATTTAGTAATTTGGTTACTTATTTCTAAATTGTTAAATTGTTAATAGTTTTAATTTATGCATGTTAATTTTAAATATAATATTAATGAATATATATATATATATATATATACTTACCACTTTGTAAATTAAATTAAATTTCATGTTTAGTTGATTTTTTTTTTTAATCTAGTTTAGAATTAAGGGGCGGGGATTGAACTAAAATATCTGTGCTGTGTGGGGTGGGGGTAAGTGGTAGACTTAAGGGGAATATGTGCTGTGTCACTTTTTCCTTTTCCCTCACTGAAGTAATGTTATCTATTTGAAACTTCCAAAGGTGGATATGGTTATAGAAGAAGTGGCCGAGATAAATATGGCCCTCCTACCCGTACAGAATACAGACTTATTGTGGAGAATTTGTCAAGTAGATGCAGCTGGCAAGACCTAAAGGTTTGGGCCTTATTAACCTTCTGGGATAAGGTTGGGGTGGAGTTAAACTTGGGAAAGAGATAATTTTATGCTGGGCCATGTGGATGAAGAATGTAATGGTATTATATGTTTGAAAGCTTTCCCGAAGCTTGGAAAATCTCTAAAGGTTCCAGGGGCTCCTGGTGGGCTCAGTGAAACATGCAACTCTTGATCTCGAGGTTGTAGGTTCAAGCCCCATGTTGGGTGTAGAGATTGCTTAAAAATAAAATCTATTTAAAAAGTAGAAACAAAAATTTTTAAAGCTTCCATAGGAGTAGAAAAGGCATCAGAATCTCACTATTACTGTACATTAGGGGACCATCACTCTAAAGACAACCTGTATTAAATTTGCCACTGTATAGAGTTTGTTGTAGAGAGAGATGCCATCATAGTTTCTCACCAATAAAAAGTTGGAACCACCAGTGTTTCCTGCAACATTAGCTGTTAATACTCAACGTTTGTGAGTAGCTCTTCGTTGGGGAAAATGACTGTCTGACTCATTCTTTCATAAGGTTTTGTTGTGTTGGGTTTTTTTTCCCCCATGAAATACTCATCCTCCAGGAGTTTTAAGGTCAAAGATTAAGGTCCGGTTGCTTTGTTGACCATCCAGTACAGTGAACCTAGCTTAGTTTTCGACAACTGTTTTTAAGCTCAGTAGGGAAGAAAGGCTTGAGTAGTGTCTTAATCTGGATGGTAGAAGGACAGAAGAAAAGGAAAGTCACACTTTCCACTCTCACTTCTCATTTTTAGTCCATTGTTAAACAGATCCTCTCTAGCCAAACGAGTGAGCGTATTTAGGTTCAGCAAAAAGTAGTTAAGGATCTTACATTCGTATGGTTTTAACTCATTGAAGCAATTTTATATCCCTTTTTAAATTTGCTCCCAACAGTCTTTAGATAACAAAGACAAGATCCAGAAAGGGCTTACACGTTGGTCTTAGCGCAGGAGGCAGGAGTACAGCCTAAGCTGGCGTTTCTTCAGCGCTTGGTGCCTTTTTTGGCAGTAGTAGAGGCGGCCCCCACCTGTGCTCACTGCAGGGATGACTCGGTGCTCGGGAAGTTAAGGGTTTGATGTTTGGGTAGAAACTGGGAAAGGCTTTCAGACTTTTGGTTAAAATGGACTTTAGCCCGTGTCTTCAGTTGATCTTCTACTTCCATGCCTTTGGTAGTTTCACTCTCTGGAAAAGAGAGTCATAGAGCGGATGTCCTTGTAAGTCAGAGCGGACTTAAAACCAGGGCTCTGGGGCCCACCTATCTGCAGTGAATCCCAGCTCTGCCACCTGTCCGTTACTGTACGTTACCAAGTTACTTTCTTCTTGTGCCTCATATTTTTCAACTATAAAAATGGGATTCATACCCATTTTTACTCCTGGGACAGTAAATGCTGTTAATTGAGGAAATGCAAAAGTAAATTTAACAGCTGTTTGTTTTTAAAATTACAAATGCATAACACCCCGTGATGTTGGTGTTGAGAGAAAAGTTACATGATAGTCTGCCTCCAGAGGCATTGAGAACTGGTAGTTTGACCTGTCAGGTGGGGTAAGTAGTATTAATTCAGATTCTGAAGTCTGTATGTTCTACTCTTCTGTTCTGCCAAGTGGGAAAATAATTGTATCTATCTCATGTTAGGACTTTAATCGTGCCGGTCCCTACAGTAAACATTTAATAGTTAGCTGCTGTTACTAGTAATTTGGAAGTGTGGAAATAATAAAACAAAAGTAGTGTCATTCTTCAAGGCCTTTACATCTCAACCTGTCCAACATAGTCCCAGTCTCAGCATAACTTCATAGCATCTTCATTCAGTCTCAGAGGTGTCCAGATTTGGGTGATGAATTATATGGACCTTTTTTTTTATCTAGAGCCCCCACTCCTACCAGTAATTCAGTTGAAGGAATTTTCTGCAAAGATACTCCCTTGCTGGATTATGAATAACATAGCAAGAGACTATACATAACCTGAAATACCCAACAACTGGGAAATCCCCAGAAATAGTACTGGACAACCCTACAGGTGTCCAGTTGTATGTTGTCAGCAGGTTGTATGTACAACCTGTCAACAGGTTGTATGTTAACACTTAAACATTTTGTGATGCAGTGAGCAAAGAAGGTATTGAATGGCATGTGTTCAGAGGAAAGCAGTAACAAAAATAAACTGTGTTGAGTAAGTATATACTGCATACAAAGTATTTATGGGGAAATTAGCTATAAAACCTTAAGTTCTAAATTTATCTAAATGTCATGGTCATTTCAAACACTAATAGGATCTCATCTATACATCACCTTTTTTTTTTTTTTTTTAATTTGTTTATTTTAGAGCAGGGAGAGGGGTAGGGGTACACGGGTAGGGGGAGAGAATCTCAAGCAGCCTCCCCACTGAGTGTGAGCCTAATGCGAGGGTTGGCCTCACGACCCTGAGATCATGTCCTGAGCCAAAATCAAGAATCAGACGCTTAACCGACTGAGCCACCCAGGCGCCCCCACTTTTTTTTTTTTTTTTTTTTAGTTTTTATTTGTTTATTATCTCTATACCCCACGTGGCGCTCAAACTCACAGCCCCAAGATCAAGAGCCAGTGTTCTTGCAGCGGAGCCAGCCAGGCGCCACTTCAGTATGTATCTGGCATGTTAGTTGTGTTCTCCCAGTGGGTTTCATGAACTCCCAGGAGAGCCTGAGCAAAGAGGAAACGGCAGTAAAGGGACTTGGGTTATTACACCTTTGAAGCCAGAGCTTGACGCTACTGTTCTGTTGCCTTTGTTTTGAAGAAATGATATAACAGTAATTTCATTTTCTTTTTTAAGTTCTATTTAAGTAATCTCTGCACCCAGCGTGGGGCTCAAACTCATGACCCTGAGATCAGGAGTCACATGCTCTTCCGGCTGAGCCAGCCAGGCCCCCTACCAGCAATTTTAAGTAAAACAGAGGTGCTAATCTCATAATCCCTTTATGAATTTTTTATATAACCCTAGATAGTTGTCAATATTTATATGTTTTTTAAACAAGTATTTATAATGAAATGTAAAAGATCTCTACATTTACTCGTGTGGTAACATGAGAGTCTAATGCTGCTATAAACAGACTAGCCACTCTAAAATTTAGGAAGTGATAGTTGAAAATGTTCATATTCACACATAACTATTTAAAGGAGTAAATATTTGTTGTCTCTACCACTCACCTGGTGCTTTAAAGAACCTTAGTAAATGGTTGGTATGTAGATGGAAATATTTTAAAGAGTAAACTCCATTCTGAAGAAAACTAGTTTTTAATGTTCGTTATGATAATTGCATTAACAAAATATATCATAACTTATTGAGTGATTTTTCTTTTTTTTTAAGGATTATATGCGTCAGGCAGGAGAAGTGACCTATGCAGATGCTCACAAGGGACGCAAAAATGAAGGGGTGATTGAATTTGTGTCCTATTCTGATATGAAAAGAGCTTTGGAAAAGTTAGATGGAACTGAAGTCAATGGCAGAAAAATCAGATTAGTTGAAGACAAGCCAGGTTCTCGACGACGCCGGTCCTACTCCAGGAGCCGGAGCCACTCAAGGTACTGCTTACATTTGCGTGTCGGTGCTTGCTGTCAGTTCCTTAATGAGTACATAGATGAATAATCCATTTCCATTCTCCTGTTGAATTCTTAGCACATGGTTCTGTCTGGTTCGGTAACTCCAAACTTTGAACTGAACATTTATTTGTAAAACTCTTGAACTCTTACATCATGTGCACAAATCGAAATTCTTTCTCTGAAGCAGATAACAGTGACCTATTTTCATACTTTTTCTTTGGTACCCCAGATCATACCCTTTCTGGGGACAAACATGGCAAGTAGTCCCTTGGTTTACTTTCCCAAACACCACCTACTCAAGAGTAGAGACCTTTTTTTTTTTTTTTTTTTTTTAAAGATTTTATTTATCTATTTGACAGAGACACAGAGAGAGAACACAAGTAGAGGGAGTGGGAGAGGCTTCCCACTGAGCAGGGAGGCCAGTGTGGGGCTCGATCCCAGGACCCTGGGATCATGACCTGAGCCGAAGGCAGACACTTAACAACTGAGTCACCCAGGCGCCCTAAGAGTGGAGACTTTCTTATTCAGCAGCTACTCAGCACTAGGCCAGGCACTTGTGAACGAGACAAATACGGTCCGTGCCCTCATGAAACTCAGCCTAGTGGAGAAAACAGGCATTGAGCAAATAATGACCGCTGTGATAAGTGTATGGCAAAGGAAATGTACACAGCACTAGTTTGGAGAACTGACAGGGGCTTCTCTAAGGATGTGTCATAGACGCTGAGCTCTAAGGAGAAGCTGGAGGTGGCGAGTAGAGAAAGGATTAGTGCCCTTGTACTTCTGGCAGAGGGCAGCGGGACGAGAGCAGCTTGAGGTGGTGCAGAGAAGAGCCAGATCCTGCCAAGCCATGGGCCAAGTAAGGACTTCCAAGCAGTGGGAAGTCACTAGAGATCTCTAAGCTTTTCAGGTTTGGCTTTGTTTTTGTTTTTTTCTTAAGGAAAATGCCAAATACATAAAGCATTAGAGAAAACAGTGAGCCCTGCATTCCCTTATGCCTGTTCCCATCCAGCTTTATCCTTGTCATTTTGCCAGTCTTGCCTCCCCACCATTGCCACTGCCTCATTTTAAGGCAGGTCTGGGCATCCTGTCATTCTACCCATGATTATTTCAGTGTGTACGTCTGAAGTCTAAAACCGTGATGCCATATTACAGCTAGTAAATTTGTATGCAGATTCCCCAGTTGTCTCAGATACGTACGTATCTCTTCTTTTTTTAATAACTGGTATGTCCTCCTTTGTCCTTTTTTTTTTTTTTTTTAAATTCTCCATGCATTTAGTTGAAGAAACCGTTGCCTGCTTTGAAGATTTTCTCCTAGTGGAGATTTGTCTGATCACATCTTGTGGTGATACTTACGTTCCTTTATCCTCCCTCCCATATTCCCTAAAAACTTATAGTTAGTACTTACGTTAGATCTTGAGGCATGTAGAGTAGGGCCGGTATTTTAGCAGGTCAGCTTCATAACTAGTACTTTATACTTCCTGTTGCATCCCTCGTGTGGTGTCTGGATGTCCCACTGCAAATGATGGGGAGAGCACACCAGTGTGCCGGGGCTGTGAGCCCGAGCTGTTACGGAGTCCTGCGACCGTCCGTCTGACGGTCTTAGCATCTTAGCGCCCTCCCTCGCTGGAGCCAGTCCGTCACGGTTGCTAACTGATGACTTTCTAATTTCCTCATTCTTTCTGGATTTAAAGTCTGTAATTCTGTCGATGATTTCCACTCTCGTTGCTCTCCAATACAATTTTTATAGGAAGTGCAAAATAAAAGTTTGACACAGTATACCAACTTTTAGAATTTTAAATGTGCCCTAGGGTTCCCCAAAGGTAACGATGAGGGTGGTGACTTAGTATTAATATCATTTTGAATGAATTCTCAGATGTTGATGTGTATTTAACGTTTCATCTCCTGCAGCAAATTTTTTATGCTCAAATTGTTCTGTCTTTGGTCATTGGGAGCCCTTAAAGTTGGCTCCTGTGTCTTCAGTATCTTGGTTTTGTTTGGTTTTCTTATGAATGTGTTTCAGTGTATGTTTTCTCAAGCTTTTCATTGCGATCATTTTCAAACATCAAAGTTGCAAGAATGGTTCATGAACACCTGTGTACCCTCCTGCTGTCTTCCTCTCTGTTCATATGTGTGCATATTTATGCATGTGCCCTACATGTTTACTTTGTTGTAGCGTTTTAAGGGAAGTTGAAGACCTGATGCTTCACCCCTAAATACATCAGCATGTGTGTCCATGAATGAGGAGGACCTCATTTATATTTTCCTAGCTAAGAACCTCAGCAGCGATTCCGTAGTTACCTTCTGTCCAGGCCATTTTCAGATCTACTTTTGTCCTGACCAGAATCCCAGTCTAGTCTTGCATTATAAGAGGTTGTGTTAGATCTCTGTGGTCTGAAGCAGCCCCCTTCCCCTTATCCTCTCCCCCCACCAAACAACATTGACCTTTTTTTTTAGCGGTACCCCACATTCTGAATTTTCTGTTTCCTTTTAGCATCGATGAACGTGTGCTTTATCCCCTGCTTCCCTGAAACTGGAAGTTAGGTCTAGAGAAGTGTGATGGCGATACAGGTTCAACGTATTTGGCCAACGTCCTTTTAGGTAGAGGGTAGCAGTCTTTGAACGTTTCCCTCTTTCTGCCCTGAGGAGATGTTCTAGGCCCATCTTGTGCATTCCTGCCCTGCTCTTGGAATCAGTCGTTTCCCCAAGAGCCCTGTTTCATGTGGTAGGAAGTAAGCAGAGTTCACAGTCTTGGCCTTTTAAAGATTTTTCTAGAACTTGGATGTATTTTGAAAACGGCTTTCTGGGCACAGTGAGTGAATCCGGTAAAGGGCAGAAGTGTTCACAGGAAGGCTAGGAAGGAGGCTGCTGAGGGACCGTGATCGATGGAGTTGGCTTGGTCAGGGCAGCAGCAGAGGTAGGTGGCTGCACATGAAGAGGCAGATTCCTTTATTAGTGTAGAAGAGGATGAGGGGAGAGGAAAGAGTTCGGGGTGGCTACGGTATCTCTTGTAGGAACTGGGTAAATAATAGTGGCATCGGTGGAAAGAAGGAAGGGACCCAGCAGAAAGTGGGTGTGGGGGGGAAGCGTTTCAGGATTAGAGGTGCTGAATGTCAGGGAAGCTGTGCAGGTGGAACGTTTGCAGGTACTGGATCCTCGGACCTAGAACCCGTGGAGCATGTTCTCTTTCAACTTTGAGCCGGGACACAGCCAGTGCCAGACATATTTTTCGATTATAAATTCCTTCCTATTCAGCTAGCCTTTTATCAGCAAGTATTAAAGAATATTCTCTCCCCCTAGGTCTCGTTCCCGAAGCAGACATTCTCGTAAGAGCAGAAGCCGAAGCGGCAGCAGCAAAAGCAGCCATTCTAAGAGCAGATCTCGGTCCAGGTGGGTCTTCCCTGGTGCACGCAGAGGCGGTCTACAGGGTGCACGCGGACCGCGTCCCACTTGGGTCTTAGGGGATAAGAGTTGGGGTGCAGAAAGCCGTCCTGGGCCCATGCCCACCGCGCACCCCCCACTTCTGTCCGGACGTCTGCTTCCGCACAGCGGGGCTGTGTGTGAGGCCGATGCGGGTGTCTCCGCAGGTCAGGCTCGCATTCCCGGAGCAAGAGCCGCAGCCGCAGCCAGAGCCGCAGCCGCAGCAAGAAGGAAAAGAGCCGGAGCCCCAGCAAGGATGACAAGAGCCGCAGCCGCAGCCGCAGCGCCGACAAGCGCCGCAGCAAGAGCAAAGACCAGGCCGAAGAGAAGGTCCAGAACAGTGACGGCGCCGGGAAGTCCAAGAGCCGGAGTCCCAGTCGGCACAAAAGCAAGAGCAAAAGTCGCAGCAGGAGTCCAGAGAGGCGAGTGGAGGAGAAGCGCGCGAGCGTGAGCAGGAGCAGAAGCAAGGAGAAGAGCCGCAGCCAGGAGAAGGGCGTCCACAGGAGCCGCAGCCGCAGCCAGGGCGGCAGCCGCAGCCGCAGCCGCAGCAAAAGCAAGGACAAGCGGAAGGGCAGGAAGAGGAGCCGTGAGGAGAGCCGCAGCCGCAGCCGCAGCCGCAGCCGCAGCAAGAGCGAGAGGAGCCGAAAGCGGGGCAGTAAGCGCGACAGCAAGTCGGGCAGCAGCAGCAAGAAGAAGAAGAAGGAGGACGCCGAGCGCTCGCAGTCCCGGTCGCGGTCCCGCTCGGCCTCCAAGGAGCGGGAGCACGCCAAGGCGGAGTCCGGCCAGAGGGAGGGCCGAGGGGAGAGTGCGGATGCCGGCACCAATCAGGAGACCCGGTCCCGGTCAAGGTCCAATTCCAAGTCCAAACCCAACCCTCCATCAGAATCACGCTCCAGATCAAAGTCCGCTTCAAAAACCCGGTCTCGGTCCAAGTCCAGATCCAGGTCTGCGTCCAGATCGCCCTCTCGGTCTAGATCCAGGTCCCACTCGCGGTCCTAACTGGCTACGAGCACAGCTGGAACTCCCCGAGAAGTCTTTTGTACATGTTTGGTAGCCGTAGCACAAGTGATCCAAGTAGAACATATGTCACTGCTGTACATTTTTAACTCCCCTAATGGTGTGTCTACAATTGTTCAATCTAAGTGCTTCCTCTCCGTAAAGCCTCCTGGCACCAGGCCTTCCTGCTCGACTGAAAACGATCTTCTCTTTGAAAACCCCTTTACTCATGGCCCACAGTAGAATATCCAAACCACCGCGGCCCTCAGCCTGGCCTTTCCTACAGGGAGCTCAGTACCTGGACGGCTTTCAGGCTGGAATGCTGACATAGGTAGGTACGGTGAGTTCAGCCATTTTTGCCCTTGAATTGATGCCCTTTGATGTTTGCCATTTAGTGAAAGTGCGAAGTCTTAAGTTTCCTACCACTTTGGTTTCATACTTTTGGACTTAACAAAGTTGTGAATAGCACAGTCGAGGAAAATTGATACCTGCAGTAACCCATAGGAAATAAACTGTAGAGTTCCATATTCTGGTATTGTGATTATATTGTTTTATATTAAAAAAGAAAAGAAAAGAATTTTTTTTAATTTTATTTTTCCCCGTCTTGCAAAGTATAGTGACCCCTGTTTCCATTAAATTTGAATAAAGACTATTTTTGCTTGACAAAATTTCACGGTGTTTGAATCCAAGTTGCATCTCCTGATCTATCTCGGTATTCCTTTTCTTAGCATAAAAAGTTCAGAGTGTCACATTCCTGGTGGTCACCCACGAGTGGGTAGGGAGCCAGCCGTTATTCCTAAAGGATTTTTCTCACCCAACAGAATAAAGACAGATTTCTTAGGAAGTTACAGTCCTTCCTCTCAAGAAGCTTACGGCCAAGCTGGTGAGAGGGACGTGGATCGGCTCGGGAGCTCAGCATCACCGGGAGCAGTGGCATTTCCTGCCACGAAGCCGAAGTAGCAAACCTCATCACCTTAGGATTTGACTAACTGAAAGCCGGGAAGAAAAACGATGTTGGATGACCTCTTTTCACTCCTGGCCTGGCTGTAAAGGAAGGCCTAGGGGTACAGTGGTTCCAGCGTGGTGTCCACCCGAGGAGCAGAGGAAGCTGAAGGGCCTGCATTACGTGCTATGGCAGGGTTGGGAGGAGAGCAAGTCGCTTCAGGGACTGATGCCTACGGGTGGGCTGGGGGCTGCCCCTTGGTTTAAAATAATGTTCTCTCTCCTTCGACAGAGTCTGCGTTTCTTGCCCCTCCTGGGGTTCGTGGTCTGGTTGCAAATGTTGAACGTCACTAGGGTAAACAGTGGGCATAGAGGAGGAAGTTGTAACTTCCTCTGGGTTCAGGGACCTCTTGAGAAGACAGTACTGAGGCTGAACCTCTAGGGATGTGGGAGTGAGTGGAAAGCATTCCTTTAAAAAAAAAAAATCTGTGTACAGAGCCATGGAGTTGGGCAAGCAGGGGGCAAGATGCCCAGGGAGCGTGGAGTGTGATAATAGGGAATGAGAAGTGAGTTTGGCGGATAGATTGGGTCACGGTGTTTTGAATGCCAGGAGGAGGAATTTGGCCTTGGTCCTGCCAGCACTGAGAACACAGGAAATACTTAAACAGGAGGATAAGGGTTGTAGAGCCAGCCGCTGCGCTGCCAGGTCGATCTGACAGTAGCACGGGAGACCAGATGTCCCGAAGGCAGCCGTCCGGGGAACGCAGTACACTTGACCTCGAACAACTCGAAGATACTTTTTTTCCTTAGGGTTTTCTTGACATTCTCTTTTCTCTAGGCTGCTGTATGGCAAGAACACAGTGCTGGATATCTCCATAGCATACATAGCATGTGTTCAGTAACTTCCAGTCAACAGCGGGCTGTAAGAGTTTAGAGAGGGTCGAGCTACATGCAGATTTTTGACCGGAAGAGGGACATCACCCCTAATCCCTGTGTGACGGGTCAACTGTAATTGCAGGTGATGGGGCCTGAGCAAAGGAAGTGACAGGAGGGAACAAAACAGGGTTCAGTAGGTGACCCGGGAAAAGGAGCTGTCAGAGGTGATCCAAGATGTTCTGAAGCCTGAGGAATGGCAAAGACAAAGGTGAGTTCAGTTTTGGAAACAGAATTTCAGGGATTGAAACCTCAGACTCCCTGGAGCCTTGTCTCCATTGTGACAAGATGATGGCTCCAACCAGTAGAATTCCCATGGCCTCAGATCTCCAGTAAGTGATGAGAATCCAACATTCCCTAATTTTACAAGGATGGGAACATTGCTTTGGGCATTTTTTTTTTCCTTTCACAAGTTTAAAATTTTTAAAAGTTCAACTTCATTTTACTATCTAACAGCAGCTCTTTCCAAATTCCATTCCAAGATTTTTTCTGTTCATCCATATTCTAAACATAGTTTCATCATGTTTGTATAATTTAACTTTGTCATTTAACTACATGAGCCTTGGGAAGTTCTCACTTTAAATGCTGAAAGCACGTAAACTCTAGGCAAGTGAGTGTATTAACCCATCAAAGAGTATAAAGGAGGGGCTCCTGGGTGGCTCAGTGGGTTAAGCCGCTGCCTTCGGCTCAGGTCATGATCTCAGGGTCCTGGGATCGAGCCCCGCATCGGGCTCTCTGCTCAGCAGGGAGTCTGCTTCCCTCTCTCTCTGCCTGCCTCTCTGCCTGCTTGTGATCACTCTCTGTCAAATAAATGAATAAAAAAATCTTTAAAAAAAGTATAAAGGACAGAAATTCCACTTGTACATAGAAGATATTGGCAGTCATTTTTCCCCAGCAGTTTTAAATTCATTTATGTTGGATTCTGAGCAAAAAGTTAAAGATCAAAAGAAAGATGGGAGCTCATCTGTTGGAGTTCCAGGCACACCGGAGACCAGTACTGGCTCGTCCATTCTCCGTCCTGTTCTCACGCCACCCAGGGGTCAGTACAGTTTGGTTCGGTTGCAGGTGAAGAGACTGCAGCACTCTGTCCACACATCCCCAGTGACGTCCGGTTCCTATTTGAGTGTGTGCCTTTTATATGCCGAGCGCTGGTCTTTAAGGCACTGGGAATGGTGTAGGAAAAGACAGAAGCCCCCATCTTCTCATGGAACATACTTGCTGCTTATGGATTGGAATCACAGGGCTTGCCTCGTGACGGTGTCAGTACTCAGTGCCCACTGTGGGCCAGATACTGGGCCAATCGGCGGTCACGGGCAATTCACTGTAAGGCTCGCTCTCTCTTGCCAGCCCTTAGGAGAGGTGAAATGCAGTGCTTGTTCAAGGCTGTACCGTTTCTTCCAGATAACTCTGGGCCAGAAGACCGCAATAACATTTGAGGGTAGAACTGGATACTGCCTGTACCTCCCTGCCCCCTGTGGCCCAGGGGAAGAAAGACCTTGGGAAGCTGAAGAGGAAGGCCCTAAATTTGGTTCATTTGCCTACTACCGCATCTGCTGTGAACTATAGGTGCTTCTGTGTACATCAGTACCTAGTCCCTTTTTAAAAGGCAAAGACAAGATCTGGGAGAGGTGAAGTGATTTTCCCAATGTACCATAGCTAGTGACAAAGCTAGATTAATTTTTTAATTTCTCTGGTTCTCTTCCCTGGTAAAATCTCATCACTTGATGATGTAATTACGGGAAGATATTTGAAGTCACAACAGCTAGGATTTGAACTCAGGTTCAAGTCACATGGGCTTTCCTCAAAAGGATCTGTTTTCCTAGAACAACTTTTTTTTTTTTCTTTTAAAGATTTTATTTATTTATTTGTCAGAGAGAGAGAGAGGGAGAGAGAGCAAGCACAGGCAGACAGAATGGCAGGCAGAGGGAGAAGCAGGCTCCCTGATGAGCAAGGAGCCCGATGTGGGACTCGATCCCAGGACACTGGGATCATGACCTGAGGCGAAGGCAGCTGCTTAACCAACTGAGCCACCCAGGCGTCCCCTTAGAACAACTTCTAAGTTGCTGCAGGACGATGGCGTTGACCCACTGCTGTGAATAAATTGTAATTGCTCCATCATTGGATCAAGACTCAAAAGTCTTGCTGGGGGTGCCCATTTGTCCCAGCCCAGGTCATCATCCCACATTCTGCATACCAAGGAGTGAAGAGAAGGAGTGTGGCTCCATTTCAGCTTCTACGGAAATGTGCATTGATGTTCACAAAAAATGCACTCAACAGGCAATTTTCCCCAAAATAGGAGGCAGCCAAAGAAATACAAACTCATATAAACCTCTTTGGATGCTCAAATCCATATTCCCTCTTCCATACTTTATCTCCTTCTGCTGCCCCTCCCCTCCCAAAAAAGAGAGGAAGACAAAATGAGAAAAGGGTAAGTAAGGATAGAAAACAGTAACAAATGTGGTAGATAATAAAATATCAACAATTCAGGGCTCCTGGGTGGCTTAGTAGGTTAAGCCTCTGCCTTCGGCTCAGGTCATGATCTTAGGGTCCTGGGATTGAGCCCCGCATTGGGCTCTCTGCTCAGCAGGGAGCCTGCTTCCTCCTCCTCTCTCTCTCTGCCTATTTGTGATCTCTGTCAAATAAATAAAATCTTTTTAAAAAAAATAAACTATAATTCATCACAGGTGAATTCTACCAAACTTTTTTTTTTAAGATTTTATTTGAGAAAGTGAGCAAGAGAACACAAGCAGGGGTAGCAGCAGATGGAGAAGCGGGCTCCCCACTGAGCAGGGAGCCCAGTGTGGGGCTCGGTCCCAGGACCCTGGGATCATGACCTGAGCTGAAGGCAGACACTTAACTGACTTGCATGACCCAGGCACCCTGGATTCTACCAAACATTTAAAGAGTTAATACCTATTTTTCTCAAACGATATTCCAAAAACTGCAAGAGGAAAGAAAACTTCCAAATTCATTTTTCAAGGCCAGTATCACCCTCATACCAAAACCAGATAAACACCAAAAAAGGGAACTGTAGGCCAATATCATGAATACTGATGCAAAAATCCTCAACAAAATACTAACAATCCAACAATACATAAAAAAAAAAATCATGTATTTCACCATCAAGTGGGATTTATTTCCAGGATGCAACTCTGATATTTGCAAGTCATTCGTGATTGTTCATCAATAAGAGAAAGGATAAAAACCATATGATGATTTCAATAGACGCAGAAAAAGCATCTGACAAAGTACAACATCCATTCACAATAAAAAAAAAAAAACAAAAACCCTCTGCAAAGTAGGTCTGGAGGAAATACCTCAACATAATAAAGGCCCTATGTGAAAACAACAACAACAAAATCCTCCATAGCCAACATCATGCTCAATGTGGAAAAGCAGAGCTTTTTCCCCTAAGGTAAGGAACAAGACAAGAATGTCCACTCACTACTTTTATTCAACATAGTGTTGGAAGTCCCAGCCACAGCAATTAGACAACATAAATAAAAGGCATCAAACTGGTAAGGAAATAGTAAAATTCCCACTACTCATAAATGACATACTATAAAGAAAAGACCTGGGACGCCTGGGTGGCTCAGTGGGTTAAGCCACTGCCTTCGGCTCAGGTCATGATCCTGGGGTCCTGGGATCGAGTCCCGCATCGGACTCCTTGCTCGGCGGGGAGCCTGCTTCCTCCTCTCTCTCTGCCTGCCTCTGCCTGCTTGTGTGTACTCTCTCTCTCTGACAAATAAATAAAAATCTTTAAAAAAAAAAAAAGACCTTAAAGACTCCACCAAAAAACTCTTAAGAACTGATAAATGAATTTCGTAAAGTCACAGGATACAAAAATCGATGTACAGAAATCCGTCACATTCTTACACACTAACAAAGCAGCAGAAAGCGAAATTAAGAACACAGTCCCATTTACAGTTGCACCAAATACAGTAAAATACTTAGGAATAAACCAAAGAGGCA